TCTGAACTGACCTGCGTAGCGTGCAAAAATGTGTACATCTGAATCTTACGCGCCGATAGGGCTTTTAGTATGTACGAAATCTGACAAAATACTGGCGGCAAGATGTTTGTATGCTTTCACATAGAAAAGAACCGTTGACTAATCTCGCAATATAAGTTGTTACGCCGAATAATCGCAATGCAATTCTTTCATTCTACCATACACGCCGTCTCCGCCTCTGTATTTAAAACTTAACCTGCTGTACTCATGTTCATACAGTTCCCAAAAATAGTAGCCGTTTTGTCACCGATAGCCGATGCTCAGGCAATACCAGTTGTTTCATTAGAAGATATTAGTAAAACAAAATTTCATTTATCGTCGATTGTAGGTAGTGAAATGGTTATTTTTCGTTTATCTGACGATCTGTGCTAGTTCTACTTCAATTTCAGGCTGCGAAATCTGGAGTCCGACCCCACTATTTGGTAGGGACATATTAAGTCAAACGCCGTACCACTGAGCCACGCGCTGCAATGACTATTAATAGCTGTACGGGCTGGGCTACAGAAATCTGTTGATCGATTGTTTATTACTCACTGCCTTACTATCGTCAGCGGTGGACCTAGGTCCAATGCGAAGATAACGTAGCGATTTCCGTCCCACGCCGCTCTCTCTCTAGTACTTCGAGATGTTGTCTGGTGATCATACAAGTTTTCCCTCCCCTATCTTATACATGCCAGATTTTTATCCTGCTTAAATTAGAGGAGCTTTTTGAGCGTCAACTTGTACAAGGAATTTAATTTATTTTTTCCCTCCTCCGTATTCCAGCCTGTCTGTCGCATAAAAGTGCTATTCAGATTTTCATCGCCCTAGCTACCAGGTAAGTAATTAGATGAACCCTGTGAAATTATTCATGGAAGCTCAAAGCCTAACAAACTGGTGCGGTTTTGGCTAATAAAGTCAAACGCCTGAGCAGAAAGCATGCGAAGAGTGTGCCTGAATAGCTTCATACTGCCCCAATATTTCGACGAACACCACCATAATCACCATCTGGATTGTTTTCTGGAAGATGGTTTAGTTTATCGTCCGGCCTGGTTTTCTTTGTTCCTCTATGACCTGATCAGTTGGATTTGCGTCGTGCCATCTACAGCCCCCCCTTTCCTGTTCTTTTGTTGCAGGCGAATCCGGAGGCTCTGGACGGTTTGGAAGACCTTCTGCTCTTGGAGCACACAAATGAATCCACCTTCGTGTATAACCTACATAGCCGCTTTCTCTCCTCTCTGCCCTACACCTACTGCGCCGATCTTGCACTAGTGGCTATCAATCCGATGCGTGAGCTGAATATTTATACCGACTCGGTCAGTCCCCTCCGCATCACCCATCTCTTCCTCATCCTAATTTTGTGTGCATTTAGCAATGCAAATCGCCTAATAACCTTCATCCCTCTGTCATTGCTTTGCCTTGACCCGAACCAATAACCAGGACTCACGTGCCTTTGTTTCTTTGGGAAATGGCGTCCCTGAATGGATTGAAAATGCCTCAAAGGAGCGAAATCGGGCTAAGTCGTGGCGATTATCATAACATGCTATAATTACTAGGTTTCTGCAAGTAGATAGGATTCAAATAACTAATGCATACATTAGGTTGCTCCTCTTTTTGATGGTTTACCATTAAAAAGTGGGTTTCGATCCAATCTTGTATAAATGTTTGTATTTGGTGAATTCTA